TGTAATAAAGGGAAAAATATAGAACAAATAGTCAATAGGTAAATTTTAATAGCACTTAAGTGGTCATTATTTGTCGTCATAAAAAAATGAATATCTATAGGGTGGAAATATTGGTTACTCAGATAAAAGTTTAATGAATGTAATTCGCACAAGGAAATACAGCTATTTCAGGTACATATGAGAGCATATCAAGTGATCGATGAAAAAATGTCTGGAATTATTTAATTTTGCTCATTCCATAATTTGTTGCATAAGCGAAAGAAACAAATCCAAAAGGCCAGTAGACTTTAGTGGTACTAACGACCTAGTAGGAATATCGTAGATCAAATTTCTCTATGAAAATGGAATACCTTGCCAGACTTATTTCTCGGTGAGCAAAAAAGTCAAAATATCCGTATAAATCGAAACCCGTCAAAAGCAAAGGCAGTCGGTGCACTAAATTAAACATAATCAATGAATCAGTATTGACGGCAGACCTAAGCATTAGGTGAGGCTTTTTAATAGTGATATCAGCACTTCAGGAAAGAAACAAAGAAAGAGAAACTAGTAGCTGGCCACGAGCCAAACGCCATTTAGCATGTGAAGTTGATACCTTAAATATCCCGAAAATGACAACGTGATTTGCTCATGCGTTTTTCGTTGCCTAGTGGTTCGTCTTTAACAACACTTCGCAACATTGCGTTCACAAGTTACTAGGACAAATATCGATAAAAACTTATCATAACGTAAATGTATGGAAACAGGCAGATGGGGTTGCTGAGACAAAAGTCAAAGAGTGACTCTAGGTAAACGCCCCAGATACGAATACGCCTTATTACGAGAGGCGTAAGAGTAAAAGTAAAAGCGTAAAAGACAACTGAAAGAAGATGTAAACGGAGATAAACTATAAGTAAAGAAGAATTTAGGTCTTTATCTAGGTAGATACGAAGATAAACTTGGTTTCGAAGAATCCCTTGAGATAACATTGTAACGAGGATTTTCATTTCATATGAAAGTGCATGAATAAGAGATTCGCTGCTCGATCTCACCAGATGAGTGCGGATGAATCTCGTTGTATTGCAGCCGTTTGGATTTTATACGAAAATCATGTTGAC